TTTTCAATTTTAAACCTGATGAGTACCATACAGGTTTATCAAAGGATTACAAGAAGTACAAGTTGCAAGAAGAACCACATGTTAATATGTTAGGTGGGTACGTAAGACACCAAGAGAATGAGTTTCCATGTTATGTCCCAATGAGGTAGTCTCCAGGGGTTGGTCTGGACCTCCGGGCCAATCTTTGTGGCATGCTTTCTTTACCTCCTGTCTAGAAAAATATTGTAGTTGGTTATAGGATAAAACGTATAAATTAATATGCAATGAGAAGGATTTATCGATTCACTTCTATTTCCCCTATTATGTCACACCCCTCTGCACGCTGGGGAGCCACACACTGTTTATACAAACTTGAGTTCCACTTGCCAAAGGATGTTCTAGACCTAATTTGGTTAAAATCCTTTCAATCACTTGGAAGGTGAAGGATTTAAAATTTTAAAATATTTGTAAATGACCTTGACTCCCGCCCAAATTATATGAAATAATACAAATATACAAAATTTAGTGATAATTCTCTATTCACACAGAATTTTTTTTTTTTTTAAATATTTCTCTTTATTTCCCCTATTCGACCCCTTCCTTCTGGCCCAAATACCAACATACTCTGTTTAAAACTTTATACAAAATCCCTTTTTCCCAAATATGCTCTAGAACAAGTTTGGTTAAAATCCCTTCCTTGGTAAAAAAGGAGAAAGATTTTTCCTCTATTTCCCTTATTGGGCCTCACATGCACCTCTCTGCCCCAAAGGGGGGCCACAGCATGTATTCATAGAACTGGAATCTTTTTACCCTCAGCATATGATCGGCCTTATGGTTATTCAGAAAAAGTCGGGAACAGATTTTAAACACATTTGACCCCGTGACCTTCAATATAAGTCAAGGTCATTCATTTGAACAAACTTAATAGCCCCCAGATATCAAAATTTTGGGCCTTATCGTTATACATAAATGTCGTTTAAAGGTGTAAAATATATCTGACCCCTGTGACCATGAATATAATTCAAATTCATTCATTGGAATAAACTAACAAATTTAACCCATGTGACCTTGAATATAAACCAATGTCATTGATTTGAACAAACTAGGTAGCCCTTAATCCCAAAATGTTACTGGCCAAATAACAGCAGCCTGAGCCTTTTGATTATTTAGAAGAAATCGTTTAAAGATTTTTAACATAGTTGACCCCTTTGACCTTGAATGTCAGTCAAGGTCATTCACTTAATCAAACTTGGTAGCCCTTTATGCCAGCATGTTACTGCCAAAACATCACTACCCTTGGCCTTTTTGTTAATCACAAGAAGTTGTTTAAAAGTTGTTTTAAGATATTAGACCCTGTGGCATTGGATATTAGTCAAGGTCATTGATTTGGTATGCAGATGTAGTATGGCATTGCGATCCTTTTCTGGTGCATCTTTTGCGACTACAGGATTAGTTTCGGCACTTTATGTAACGGTCCCTGTTACGAGTAGATATTGTTATACTTTATAAACAAGAGGCCCAAGGGGCCTTAGCGGTCACCTGAGTTATATCATAGGTACTGGTAGCTTTATTTTATTGTTTAGATGTGATGTGGAAATCAGCATGTATACTCAGTGAAATACAATACTAATGTCATGTCATTAAAGGATAAGAATTTGAAAATATTGGTAAATGTTCCCTTTGGGGACCAACCCTAGCCCCTGGGACTGGGGCAGGAATCCCAATTTTACAATGTAGTACTCTCATTCACCAAAGATGATTCTGACTAAGTTTGAGTAATTTTCTGCTGAAAATGGATAAAATATACCCAAAAGTGTTATTTCGCTATATAAGTTATAGTAAACTTTACCCCCACCCCAAAGGGGAACAGATGAATCAGGGGTCCCGAAATTGATAATTTCAATAAAGCTCCGGATGATCTTTCCATCCATGCACTGAAATTTACTATAGTACCTCTGAGTCTGGAGAGGAAGGTTTTTGAAATATTGGTTAATTTTCCCTTTGGGGACCCGCCCTGGCCCCAGGGGTTGGGGTAGGAATCTCAAATTTACAATTTTAACCATCTTACTCCAAGGATAATTCTCACCAAGTAAAAATAATTTCCTACAAAAAAATGTTAAAATATACCCAAAAGTGTTATTTCTCTATATAAACTATTGTAAACTTTACCCCTTTCCAAGGGAGAACGGATAGCTCGGGGTCCTGCAATTTACAATTTAAATAAAGCCCCTGATGATCTTTCTTGCCATGCAGAGAAAATGACTGTAGTACCTTCGAGTCTGGAGAAGAAGATTTTTGAAATATTGGTTAATTTTCCCTTTGGGGCCCCGCCCTGGCTACAGGAGTTGTGGTAGGAATCCCAATTTTACAATTTTGTAGCCTCATCTACCAAGGATGATTCTGACCACTGGTTCTTGAGAAGAAGTTGAAAATGTAAAAAGTTTACGCACGACGGACGACGCACAACGACGGACGGAAAGCGATTAGAATAGGTCACTTGAGCAAAGCTCAGGTGACCTAAAAAGAAAGAAATATATGTACCCTTCCAGAGCAATGATTTCATATCTGCTTTAGTAAATTCATGTTGTGTAAAAAGTTCGGGTCCTTTAATTTGTTCCTTTGGCCAAAGAAAGGTGTTCTTTGTTAGATATGGCTTACATTTTATTTTTATATAGGGTATATCTCGCACAAATTGTGTTTTGAAAACGTCTCTATGTTTAGAATATATTCAGTGGAATTCCAACAAAATCAGTTCTTCTGATTCAAAAATAAATGAATAATAAATAAATACAGGTATTGTCATCAAAAGAAGTGGTAGTATATGTGTTAACTCTCTCACAATTTAGGTGAACAGGATTGCGTTTGAATGTGTTTAAGAAGCTAGCTGCGCATACGTTGTATGAATCGGGCAACAGTAATTTTTTTTCATCGTCTAATTGAATCTGCGAAGATATTTTTAAAACTTCTGTTGCGTATTTCAAAAGCAAATGAATAGATTGGTAGATAACTCAATCAATAGCTTCTAGGCATGTTGTACATTGAACTATTAGTCATTTGATATCATGCCATCTCATCTATTACATGTACACTTAGGCAAATTTTAAGACGCCATCCCCGATTGAGATGGAGAGTTGGGGTGAGAAATCGTGCCGGGTGAGAAAACGTGTCACTTATGCCCATATGTTTTGCACAATTTCTCACCCTGAGAAATTGTATTGCAAACGCAGCAATTTTAGCATGATTGTGAAATCGTGTCGGGGTGAGCAATCGTGCCGTAACAAGGTGATATCAGAAAAACTGAAAAAAAAAATGTTTTAAATTACAAGTAGTATACATACTGTTTGTATATACCAATACGCGAAAGGACTATATCGTCAAATGGTGCGATTTCATAATTTCTTTTATCACTAGGAATATAAAATAAATCGTTTACGCTGTAAAAACCAAAAAAAGCATTTATTTAATATGTACGTAAAGCAGAAATGAAACATATTTCTGACAGCAGTGACCTTCGTTTTTCAGAGGTCATATAACAGAAAGAATAGTCATACGTGCGTCAATATTCATTAATTAATTAAAAATCGAAAAACATCAATATGTATGCAAAGAAGATGTACAGAATAACAAGAGGTCCTGTGGCCTGAATAGCTCACTTGCTATGGTTTCTTACCTCCATTATAACTCTGATAGACAGACGGATGATAATTTACTGAAAGTCTCGTCTTACTTTTTCCCTGTTAACCAATTTTAGGATTTTAAAAGGACATAATAACTCTCCAGGTCACCCTTTTGTTTATACAAAGATGACCCCGCTTAGGCAAAGGATGCTCTGAATCAAATAGGTAAAAATCCTCATACGCAAATATTAGAATTTTAAAGATATGCCTGTATTTCTACTACTGGGCCATGTCCCTCTGCCACCAGGAACGCCACTCTCTCCTTTATTTACCTGTATTTCTACTACTGGGCCATGCCCTATGCCACCAGGAACGCCACTCTCTCCTTTATTTACCTGTATTTCTACTACTGGCCCATGTCCCTCTGCCACCAGGAACGCCACACTCTCCTTTATTTACCTGTATTTCTACTACTGGGCCATGCCCTCTGCCACCAGGAACGCCACTCTCTCCTTTCATACAATGAGTCCCCTTGGACCAAACACGCTCGAGACAGATCCAGCTTAAAATCCCTTTACTCCACTAAAAAGTAGTATTTCAAACAACTACAATATTTCCCATATAGCATCCCATCCCTCTGCCCCAAGGAACACCACACCCTCCGTTTATAAAACACTGAATCCCTTACGACCAAAGGATGCCCTACACCAAATCAGGTTAAAATCCTGTTATCTCTTCTCTCTCTTAGTTCGAATTTTAAAGATGTTCCTGTATTTTCTCTACAGGGTTTAATTCCTCTTACCCCCATGAGGGCTACAAACAAATGCAAATGAGGTTCAAAACAAATTAGATTAAAATACCATAACCTGTACTCAAAGAGTAGGATATTATAGAATAACCTATGTTTCTCCTCCGCTCCAAAGCAGGTTATACCTTATAACTGATAGAGTCCCCTTGGCCAAAGGATACTTCAGAAAAATTGTGGTAAAAGTCCCTCTATCCCTACTCAAGAAACAGGATTTAAGATTTTCCTGTATTTCCGCTCTAATGGGCACCACCCGTCTGCCCCCAAAAATGTAACATCCTGCCAATAAACATTGATAGAGTCCCCTTGACCAAAGGATACTCCAGACTTACTAAGGTGAAAATCCCTATACTCAAGGAATAGGATTCAAAGTGTTTATGTTATATAACCCGTACTGGGCCCCTTCCCTCTGGAGTAAACAATAAATGATATACAGTACGGAACAATGTTTGGGGTTATATAGTATAACTCGGTACGGAACAATGTTTGGGGTCTTATAGTATAACTCGTCTGTTTACCTAAACAATTCAAATTTAAGTTTAAACAGTCACATTTTGTAATCAATAGAAAATTTAATTATTATTTTTTCTTTCACAGGTACACAAAAGAAGACCTCAAGATCCTCCAGAAGTTACTTCCCTGTACACTTTTATTTCTCCCACATCCAAAACCATGGCAACCAAACACAGCAGCCCCAGTCCACAAGTTCCAGTCAGGATCAAAGGCCACACAAAGTGTCTGTACCATAAGGACAATGAGGTGGTTCTCCTCTGTCAGGACTGTGGATTACTGATCTGTACGACTTGTTCCATAACAACTCACAAAACACACATTGATAGCTTTTGTGAAATTTCGAAAATTACAAATGAACAAAAAAATACACTACTAGACTTTATGAATGAAACAGAAAACATTGAAATTCCCAAACTCAAAAATGAAATCCAATCGGCAAGGAACGAAATTTCGACAAGTGAATCTAACTACAAAAAACTCTCTGTAAATATTAAAAAACAGCGCGATCAATGTAAACTAGATTTAGATAAAATAACGGAGGATCATTTAGCAATATGTAACAAGATGGAGAAGGGGACCACAGACCTCCTTCGGATTCACATCACAAACCTGGAGGACAGGTTAGACACTTTAGTTAAACTCTCATCAGAGTGTAAACAGACCCTCCAGACAGGCACTGCTGTACTTGTGTATGACTCGGTATCAGAAATCCAGGACATGGACTTAGATATCCCACAGGCACCTTACATAGACATGACAGAATTTACTCCAGATAACAACAGACAACGTCACCTGGAGCAGGCCATGGGGAAAATGAAGACTCCTACTGACCATTTTAAGGCAGGATCAGCACCTAGTGGTCACTCCGAACAAGGTCCAGTTGTGAGACCTAAACTGTCCAAATCTACAGAGACGGGTCAAGCCTCCACTGGAGCAGTCCTGTACACACTTTGTGACAGTCCAACTGTCATATCCCAGTTCTCATACCCAGGTGGTATCTCATCAATCTGTCCTACATCTAATGGACGTGCATGGCTGTGTCATTATAAAACCAACACAGTAAAACTCATCAACAACAAAGGTAACTTTTTCTCCAACAAACCTAAAGTCATACAGAAGATACAACACAACAGTAACATCACAGACATCAGTCTGGACCCCACCACAGGTCGTCTGTGGTTCTGTTGTAAGGCTGAGAGGTCTATCTGTGAAGTATCTACATCATCTACACCAGTCACAAGGTTTACTACAGAGGGGGACCCTAACAGTCTGTGTGTGACCAGGGAAGGTCGGGTAGTGGTGGGTACAGGAGGGAGACAGGGGTACAAGGTGGTGATGTACACAGCAGACGGCCAGGTGTTACACACAGCCACTGTGGAGGGGTCAGGGACGGGGTCAGTACTGTCCATCGCACAGTGTGGTGTTACAGGTAACATAGCTATAGTGAGTAGTAAACTTATCAGTGGAGACAGTAGTGATCCAAACAACTATAGGCGTCACATCACTGTGTACAACCCAACACTCCAGTTCCTGGTCCACTACCGGGGAGAGGGGATACAGGCACGGGAGGCGATCACACCAGACAAGTTTGATCCAGTAACAGTTGTATATGACAGTAAGGGTAATATTGTTATTGCTGACTATAGAAGGAACACAATAGAACTGATAAGTGGAGCAGGGAAGTACATAAAAACACTTCACACAAACAAAGGACAGGGACAAGTAGGTATACAGAAGGATGATGTGTTGTGGTCATGCTTAGAGTTAGATACAGGAGAGTGGGGACTCAAACTTCTCAAGTATTACAGTGACTGAGGAGTGACTAAACCTGGAGTAATGCTACAGACAAATTATACCAAATAAATACAAAAAGACGTTAATTTTAACATTAAACTTTGACCTTTGTTATTATGATCTTATACACTTGATCAACACTTATACAGACTAACAATATCATGTTTGAGGAATTAATGTGAACATGTCACAGGTTTATTGTTTTTGTAAATAGTTTCTGTTACAACTTCTGTTTAGAAGTGTTGTTTCAAAATAATGTCATCATTAATTTTAACAAACAGCCATGCCGGAACATCAGGTTCATTTATTTTGGTATGAAATATGTTCTTTTCAACCTTCAAGAAAAATGTCATTGATTTCTAAAACCTGCAATGAAATCTGAAATCAGCGTCTCTGTACTAATGACTTGTTTTTTAGGTGTATAACCTGACTTCCCTTATATCCTCAAGTAGACTGTTCTAAAAACCTGATCTACCCATAAATATTGGGCATGGACCTTGTGTACATATCGAAGGACATCAAAAACAGTAAATCTGCTATGCTGAACTAGCCAGTAGTGAAGTGGGGATAAACCACTCAAACAAACAGAAACATCACTGATTGTGTCACTAACACAGTTCCAATATACAAGTATTGTCATCATTCATTGTTACAAATCAGCTCTTCCCAAACATCAGGTCTGTAATATGTTCTTTTCAGTATTCAAAAACAAGGTCATTGATTTCAAAAACCTGCAATGAAATCTGAAACCAGCGTCTCTGACTTAAATTGACCTGTTCTCTAGGTGTAAAACCTGACTTCCCTTATACCACACCTAAAGTGACCTAGGATTGAGGTTTTAATTTCGTTGTTACATGATGAGATGGAGATTTTCATTGGACAGATAAATGAAATGTTTGCTGTGAGTGTGTATGAGTCAGAATCTCTGAACGTGTTGTTAAATGTGTCACCTAAGCACTTGGATATGTTTGGTCTGAAAGTTAAGAAGATGTTTGGTCTGAAAGTTAAGAAGATGCCTCACAAATATCAGTAAAGAAATTATTATGTATGCCATGCAAGTTGTGTGACAGTGAGTGACCACAAAGATGTTTAATGTTGTTTTTAGCTCACCTGGCACGAAGTGAGCTTATGCCGTGGCGCGGCGTCCGTCGTACCAAGTTTGTTCAAATGAATGACCTTCAATTATATTCAAGGTCACAGGGGTCAATTGTCTTAAAAAAACTTTTAAACAACTTCTTCTGAATAACCAAAATGCCCAGGGTGATGATATTTGGCCAGTAGCATGCTGAGATGAAGGGCTACAAAGTTTGTTCAAATGAATGACCTTCACCTATATTCAAGGTCACAGGGGTCAAATATAT